GCCCGCCCCCCCCCCCCACAACAAACTAACAGGACTATTTCCTGAATCATAAGTGAAACCAGGTGTACAACTGTGCTCCAAAAAAAGTCATCAATTTTACCATTACAAGTAAACTTAAGTAAACTCTACTCACGTCTTTTGCCCTTGTAAGTGTTATTCAAACTAAAATGTTTGAGAACAAGCATAATATCCTAAAAAACTATTAGCAGAAAATTTTAGTTGTCATAGAACCTAGTCTCAAGCTAGAAGTTTGAAGGTTTCACACGTAAGCTACTCAACAAATAACAATGCAGAAGAGAAAGATGATCCATAACACAGCTCAGAAAAAAGCACCTTGCGCTTCCGATCATCCAACGGCTGAACTTCGATAGCGAGGTATGTGTCAACATCATCAGCAGTAACAAGATAATTCGGCTGATTTGCTCCTGCAAATTAAGATTCCCAGAAAAAAATGAGTCATTATTCCAATGTTTTAATAAAAAAGGAAAAAATAACAGAGACGAATCTTTGAGAAAAAAGCAACTGGTTGAGAGCAGGAGGGCAAAAGTACCATCAATGTATTTAAAAGATCCATTTTCCAGATGACGTTCCCACTGCCAATTTGAGGGAAGAAGAGAGATTAAAATGCGGTTTGACATAAATATGAAACAAAGACATTTATCCTGAGCATGCACCTCAAAGTTACAACTTGTTGTTCCATTGATGGAGTAACCACAAGCTTGAAGCTCACGACCAGGATATGCCTCTCCGGAAATTTGGAGGCCTTCTATAGCTGGTAATGGATCATCATCTGCAGCTGTCAACAATGGTTCACAAAACTTTTCAGACAAGTGAAAGACAGTGAGGGAAGTGCTAATACACCACAATTCATTACCCTCGGAAAAAGAAGATGAAGGCTCTTCCATGACTGGGGGTAAATAAGGAGAATTTGAGGAGCTAGGGTCATCAAAACCGGCCACATAAGATGAATTTCCCAAACTCCAATTTGCTGAAGCTTCTTTTGCATCTGGTTGTCCTTCAGCATCTCCGTCATCCATCACAGCCTGGCTGAGAGGCTCACGAAACTGAACATGCCTATTATGTATGCTGTCTTCTACTTGCTTTGGTCCATGACGTTCATCTTGATTAAAATCCGGTTGCAAAGGCATCTCAGGGGCTGCTGACCTATTGATACACCAGAAACACATTCAATTATTCTGACTGGTTTCAACATAGCAGATTGAATTGAATGGGAAGTTTTCATCCACCAGTAATATTGCATACAACCAGCTGAAGACTCACAGAATGTAATGGTGCTATCAACTAAGCCTCACCCTAAAGTCATTAAAGACAACGAGGAAACAGGATGATGTCAAAAAGACAAAGGTATGCCAGAAGATAAAAGGCCGTAAAGGTATACATAGCTCATGCAGAATAATGAGACAAGATCTTATTTCGTGTAACAGCAAGAAATTTTAAACAAGAATACAATAAAGCATCCACGTATACAAAAAGTGTATACACACTAAGTAGCAGATTAGTTCTTTTATATGCCCTACCATCTGCATATGTAGATTCATCATTGAATATTAAATATGTGAAACAGATGCTATATTGTTTGAAGCTTGTAAGCGATAAACTCACTTGCTTTCAAGTGGTGAATACCTCCCAGGATGATCAGGATGGTAATTTCTCACATGGGAACCATCTAAATTATCTTGATGCGGGCGTTCCAGATCCCAGCCTGTGGCTGGGTGATCACCGGAATATTGGGGACGAGGCACCAAGTCAAGGGCATCTTTTCTCTGATGGAAACAAAGAAGAAAGGAAGTTAATGTTAAAGCCAGTCAAACATATTGATATAACAAAGAGGAATATGAATATACTGCCAATCCGACACCAACTGGATGGGATGGTGACAAAGGGGAAGCATGTTGGTGGTTCATATCTGACTGCCAAGGTGCTAATTGGTACTCCGTCTCCTTTAGCTTTGTCTGGTGTCAAGACAAAGTATAAAATCGGGTGAGAAAAATACAACATAGATCAGTAGGGAATCAGCAGGTTGCATGTTACAAAATAAAATGCAATTGCAAACGAAGCAGATGCTAAAACTTGAAATGAGTAAACACTATACCCACATATCATACCTCAGTAAGAAGGAGCTTCTCCTGGAGATGCCTAAACAAAACCTGTCAAACGGCCATAGATGTGAAACACTATTCACAAGATTCGGAGGGCAATAGAGGTGCAAAACACTTCACATTCAAGATTAATAAAGCATGAAAATTGTTGATCTATCATTCTAATTAACACTCTTCTGTTACTGGCTCTCCAGATAAATTCTAGGAAGGCGGCAGAGACCAGCAAGTGTTAATACTTCCCTATCTGCTAGCTCGATACAGCCCACCGAGCTTCCTTAATCATCAGTAGGATGTCCACAAAAGGTAACAAAGAGACTTAAACTGATGACCACTTTCTGTGAGGAATGAAAAGAAAATGACAAATAACAAGGACATAGACGAAGGGTATGAAGATGACGCAGAAGAGCAGAACAAATAAATGTTTAGGCTAAATAGTTACTTGTGAAAACTCTATTATACTGTTCCATTTTCAATAAACTCCAAGGGCAGAAAGTTATAACTTTCCATGGAAGTGTAGCACAACATTCCTTTGAAGTCAAGGAAACACACAGCGAACCACTCTGACTAATAGTCTACATTACATATGATGAAATTAACAAGTCAAAGGAAAATGCTGAAGAAGGTTCTGAATTTAAGACCAAATAACAAAAACTAAAAGTTGTATGAAGGTTCTGAGTTTAAGATTCTGACACAAGTTATATGGAAGTCATAACAAAGTTGGCAAAACAATCACTTTGGATTCTGGAACAAACCTTCACATTGCTAACAATAGACTGAGCATCAGACACCTGTGGCTGCAGAGAATACTCAGAGAGAAGGGGAAGCAAGTATGACACAAACGTAGATCTCTCTTGCTGTGCAGCCTGGAAGAAAAAGTGGAAAAATTAATACATCTCATCTCAGTTTAGATTTGAAACGAGATAGATACATACTACTTATAGATGCCGTTTGCACACTATGTAGTGAACTTAACAGTTAGAATGAAACTGAGGAGCCAGAGACAGTTCCAACTAACAATCCATGAAAGTTTCATTCAAAAATTGATAGGAAATGAGAATAATGCATGATTTCAAACCAAATAGGAATACAAAAGAAAGTCAGAATGAGAATCAAGGATAATATGCATGAAAAGACTGTGAACTACTGTTGCAAAACCAAAAACACTAGATAACAATACCTGTAGGGCATATGTGAGACGTATATTTTCCTCAATTATCTCTTGTCTGTAAGAAAGAGCTTTTGATGCAGCCTCAACAAGGTCTTGTTGCTGCTGATCAAATGCCTGGTCATATGACAAGAAACATGAGCTCTCAGAGGCATCCCAGAAGAGAAAATGAATTAGTTAGAGATACATTGGGCAGGTATGAAATGTTTTGAAAGAAGGAAAAGCTAACCAAACGCATATATGAAATGCGCTTTTCCAGAATATATTTTTCATTGCGTATTTGGGCTTCCTGCGAAAAAAATGCCAAAAATGTTAATCAATCGATGGAGCGTAAATCCCATAAAGCACATAAAGTGTAGCCAAACCAAATATCATGCACCTAAAACAAAGAGCACAGATTTCACCTTGACAGAATAATCTGCTAAATATTTCCGTAACTGCATAATCTCTTGTTCCTGTTCCTTGATCTTGCGAATGAGCTCCTGGATAGATACATTGTCAGGACCAAACATTTTTTTTTACTTCCAACAAAAAAGGACAAACTTTAGCTTAACAAGTGTGAAAAAACACCTGATTCCATGCATTGCCTGAACTATTTACTTCAGCCACTGGCATCAATCCATGAGTAGAGATGTTAACATCTGAGTCCCGATCTCCTTCCAGATGCGGTCTAGACAGATAAAAAAAACAAAAATTGTATCTTGAGTTATATTTTGAGGTTAAGCAGATTCGGTAAAACATTACGTCAAATTTCATTGACCAGTAGGATTTAGTAAGACGCTCAATACCTTACAGGAGAAAACAATACTGTAGACGTCGAAGACAATAGAGAGGGTCCTGCACCGCTTAGAGCTCCTCTGACAGAGCCATTAACCATGTTTCTCTCAGTATGGTCTTCAGCATGATCACTCACAGTAGCCTCCTCACCATTAGGATGTATATGTTGGTGGAGAACCAGCATGCCTGATGAAGCAGCATCTGGAGCATTATCTGTGCTCTTCATATGGTCAATTGACTGGTGAACCATGTAAGACCCACCGGTGGTTGTATTCGAGTGATCTTCAAGATTAGATCTTTGGGCCACAGATTCGTCTGATTTCTAGGCAATATAGAGAACAAAAGCAAAATTACCATGTAAAGCACAAATCTAACAAATATGATAACACATAACACCATCATTACGACCATAGGAAAAGACCGACCAAGAATCACTACGATGCATTCATCTATCAATACAGATTATTTCCCGAGGCTATTACAGGGACCAGAAGAATCATAATGTTCTCCTTTCTACCTACTTCTAACCAGAAAAATGCTATAAGCGAAAATCGCTTACATATTTCTCAAGCTCCAATATTTTTCTCTGAAGTTCAGACTTTAAGCGACTGTTCTCTTCGACCTGGACAGTGAGAGCACACAATCAGATAAATCCATAACACTCAGAAGTCAGAAGACAAAAATCCATTCGTTTAATGTGAATCTTGTGCTAAGTGCAAATAATTACCTGAAAAAATTACTCACACTGAGATCAAACCACATCACATGGAGTATTGAATACAAGCAGATATCAAGAAATAGATAAACGGATTCAAAGCCAAGATACTCTATCCAGCAGGAGATTTTACACTCCGTCACCACCCATATTTACAGGACTATCAAGAAATATTATACCCAGCCCAAGTGAAACAATTAAATCTCCGCATGTTTAACCAAGTTGATGCTCACTGAGCAGACCATTATATCCGCAACGGATGACAATTCAGACGTGCAATATAGAAACTTATACAGAACTTCGGAGACAAGTAACTCGATCTTTTGAAGTAAATTTCAGAGAGAGAGGAAGCTAAATATAGACAGACCTGTTGCTTGATGGTGGCTTCGGCGGCCTCGACAGCCTTGATAACCTGAAACAAGCTGTCGTTCTTGACATCATTGTCGGGAGAGCGAGATGAATCACTGAGTCTCACTCTCGAAAATCTCTCGGCCAGTCTCTCTTCATGGCCGTTCTCCATCCTCAGCCCACTCAAAGCTCCACAAATGGTCGCCTTCAAAACTAATCAATCCAAATCGCCAAAAGGGCTCGAATTTTCGTTCTCCAGTCCTTGTTACACTCGAAACCTCATCTGGGCGTTCGAGTAACCAATTGCCCAGATGAAATGGCCCCACGAGAATCCCGAAAATTTCCCCAGGAACCAAACAGCAGCGGGAAATTTCGGAGAAGGAAAAGGAAAGCCGCCGTGGGATTAAGAGGAATGGGCGTGATTGTGTACGAATGATGAAGATGAATCGAAAACCATACAAAGATGGAAAAGAAAAAGGGGAAAAAAACGGATTGAAATGAGAAGAAACTTTCCTTCTTGTTTTGTCGTCGTCGTCTTCAAGCAAAGTCGCTCTCTCTCTCTCTCTCGGTTTTCCCTCTGGACGGGTGAGAGCCCTGACCCCAGAATCGCGTTTTTAATTGGTCTCTATTCTTCCATGATTGTTTCCCCCTTTGCTTTGCTGCTGCTCACTTTTTTGTTCCTCCTTTTGTCGTTTTTTCCCCTTTGTTGACAAAAAAAATGTTTTTCCCCTCAAAAACGGATTTATGTAAGTAGTTGTAGTTTTGTAACTTGTTTTTGGTAGGCTTTTCACATTAGTTTCTAAACTCCAAGATTCTGTCTTAATAATCCTTAAAACTGTACAAAAAGGAGACAACCTTCTCCTTGAAACAGAAGTATAGCCACCATGATTCTTTTCCATAAACTCCCTAAGAAAAATGATTACATATAATCATTAGACATGGTGACTGACGTGTATCACAAACATGGACAAGATAACAAACTGGACATGGAAGAATAACTTGATTTCAGCATTCTCATCAATCTTACTTTTCAATCTTGGTATCAACATTGGCCATATATATATATATACACACACACAGTTTTCCTAAATCAGTAACTGTTCAATTCAAGACCTGAGGTTCTTGACATTGATTACAGTTAGCATCACCCTCTATTTGCTGTAACGTGGGGGTGAAGATGAAAACAAAGAGAAAAAGACAAGACAGTCACAAAGACTGAGAATTCTAGGATGAACTAAACAGCATCTGATCTTGTAGTCTTCTAAGAACATCTGCAAGTAATATTGCAGATTCTTGGCTTTGTTCTGTCATCCACACCATGAAATCTGGAGGGAAGTAATCTGCATCACTCCACTGTTTGAGTTGTGCAAGAGAAAAAGGTCCTCGTGTAATTCCCTGAGGATCTTTGTAGAACCACGTTATTTTAGCGATATCGTAAGTATCGTGATAAGCCTGAGTTCCATTTCCATATCTTGGATCCTGGATCTTGTTGTCATCATCATCGTCATCACTCAATTCGATTACCTCTGGTGCCTTTGACTGAGCTTGAACACCATTATTCAGATGGATATCTCCTACAACTGACAAGAATCCCGGTCAGGGTCATTTCTAGAGAAGCACTTTGTACTTTGTAAGTGTGCCATCTAAAAATGTGCAGAGAAAGAGAAGAGAAAAATGCAGTCTTTCTATCATAAGAATATAAGAATGAAACTATATATAGGCGTTCATATATGATTGTCAAGGAGTAATCATCTGATCAATTGACCCAATAAGATAATCAGCATGAGAAGGATTTCTTAATAGTTTTCGCCAAGTCAAATAAATTAACAATGATGGTAAGAAGTCACATTGTGAAACAAGCACCTATCACATATGAAATCCAGCAGAGATGGAAACTTAAAAGTAGAAAGTTCAAGCTCTAAAGATAAAGGATCACATAAAAAAAATAAAACACTTTATGTAAACCACATAAAGGATGGACTGATAAACTCAAGTTGCAACTGCTAAAATACAGGGAAGGATGAGATGCACCTGGAGAAGCATTGCATGTTGGCGACCTCCCATCTGGTACCATAACAAAAGTTGGGATCTCCGGAATTGCCTTAAGACTTGATATGATAAAACAATCGTTTTGCTGCTCTTTTCCATTGGCAAGCTTGGGAATATCCAAATTTTCCTGCAGGATTGATGAAAGAAAACCTTTTTCTGGCTGCTTTTTGTCATCAAGAATCTTGCTAATCTCTGGGATGGCAGAATCACTTAGTTGTTGTTCTTTGTCACTCTGATGAGGGTCAGGGACTAACTCATGGTTTGGTCTCACAAGGCCATTTTTTATTTCTTCGTCATCATCTGAATGCTCTTTGTGAGCAGGTTCAAGTTCTTCTGCGATTACTTCCGGAACACCACGCAATAGACGGGATTGTTCTTCTTCATTCTTAAGTTGATCCCTTTTCTCGAGGTATTCAAACAATGTAACAAGTCATCAAGTCAAGAAACCAACAGACATATAAAGGTTCTTCCTTTCTAAATCTCATTATCACTTCCCAAATGAGCTTCTTAGAATCATATCATTAATTTGTTATAATCTGCAATCAAAGAATATACTTTCTCTTAACTCCCAAAGGAAATGTCATGATTTTTTTTATTTCCTTCTCAAACCATATCTGCAGTGCTTAGAAAAGGATATTCTCTGCGCCATCCCTTCTCATTGGCATGATCTATAAGCCTCTGTAATGACGCAAGTTCTCTTTCAAGCCACTTGACAAAACCAACCAAAAGGTAAGAGTCAGCAGAAGAATCAAGCAAGACCACATTTCATTTCGACCTCGCTAAAATTTCACCTCATATGCCACCAGAAATACAACCAAGATTTAGTTTATCAAATTAAACATATTGATTTCCAGGTAGTTAAGTTTGAATTCCATAAAAGTATGAGATGGAGAAAAGTTATGTGGTACATGCAATATAAGTTAACAAGGAAGAATAGAATCTAGTTAGAGATCTACATGTTTTGTCACGTCTTCATGCAAACCTCGAACCTTTTCCACCATGTCCACCTATTCACGATTCAAGTAAATTTTGATTAGAGAACTACAAAAAGAAATTCTAAAACACCAGAGTGCACAGAGCCCTAGAGAACGGTGATTAGTCGTAGGGAGAAATTAGAGCACAAATACAAATCTTCAATACAAAGAGCTGCAAAAAATACCAAACAAGCAAACCGAAGTACCATTGCCTCTTTAAAATGTAAAGAAACTTACAACTGTAGGCCTCTTAAGAAAGCCATTCTTTACTCTCTGATGCAAATCTTCGCATTCTTCCTGCAAAAAATTAGCATAACCCTCAGATAAATCACAGAATGCAAGCACGGTTTGTCACCAAATTCAAAGTAAGAGTTAACATCTTTCTCAAAGTACTTGTCTATGCCGAGAGAGAAGATAAGACATAGATGCCTACTGGTCAAACAAGGTAACCATGTAAGTCTAAATCTCAGATAAAGTATAAAATTTAAAGCCCAGAGGACAGTTCTCAAAAGACAAAGCTACAAGACTACCAATGTTTTGAAATCTCAGACAAATTAGATCATCCCTACTTGAAAGGAGAAAGAGTTTGGACACTATTCAGGTCACGTGGAGAAGAAGGAAGGAATTAACGAAGCCATAAAAAATCATTATGTTAACTCCCTTCCTGGTTTTCATGTGAAATAAACAAAACAGTGGAAGCCGAAGAATCAAGAATAGGCGTCAGACTACATGTGAAAGCATATTACCTGAGAGAAATCACCATCAGATAGCATGGGAATAGAAACGTCTTTTAAATGGTTCGTAACCTGAAGAAGAAAATCATCAGTTCCATGACCCTTCTTCACTCCTAGATAACAGAAGAAAGAACAAAATAGAGCTTAATCCTCTGCAGACATTTACAATTCAACAGGGGCATAAAACAACAACTAAGTTTACAGAACAGAAGAGATATACCTGTCACTTGAACAATCTGATAAGGGTTCTTCTGAAGATAATCATTGGGGTCAGACTTGATCCTCACAAAACTTCCCAGCATCTTACTCTCAAAAGTCTCAGAATCCTTCACCAGTTCCTGGACTAAACTCCTCCTCAAATACAGAAGCTTGATATTATCTTTGACAATGGCAGCAAAAGAACTTTTTGGCACAGCCTCTCTCTTCCTAGGAGCTCTCTTCTCAGACCCACAACTTCTCTGCCGCTCATCATCATCTAAATCGTAGAGGAAATCATAGTCAGAATCATTCCCGTTCTCTGCATAATGCCTCTCCAGTAAATCATGGACTCTGTTTTTGCTTATAGTCTTTTTCCCGAAAAGCATAAACAACCTGTCGTCGCAGACGATTCTCTTCTTTTTCTCCGGGCCAACAAGTTTGTTATCCGCGACATACTTGCTGATGATTTTCGCGACATCGTTTTGGGAGATTTCTATGCTCGTGTCTTTGTTCAAGGATCCGAGGAACTCGATGAGTTGTTTCGAGCCCCATCCTACGTATTGGAAGCGCTTCGGCCTATGCTTCCTCTTCCCAGAACTTAAAGGGGTCACCGCCTGTCCATTGCACTCCTCAACCCACTCCATTACTCTCCGAAAAAAATCTAAACTTTTCTCGGTTCTCTCTGAAAACCTCTAATGCAGTTGACCCCGATTAAACCCTAATTCACGGACTACCAATCGGAACCTACGAGACGGAGAGAGAAAACAATGATCCTGACGGAATGCAGGGAGGATGAGAAAACGATAATGAGAGAGAGGCACCTACGAAAGTTCCGACAAGAGGCGGTAAGAATATCCGGGGAAGAAGGTGATACGCCGGAAAATTTCCAACTCAGGCGTCTCTGAAGGAGAGAGCAAAGTCCAGTTCTCCGACTCCGAAGCAGAGAGAGAGAGAGAGAGAGAGAGAGAGAGAGGGGAGAAACGGAGGGAGACACGAATTGTCTTTTGAGATTTCCCCACGCGACACGATAGCTATCGAAGTAACAAAGCAAAGGGGAAATGAACTAATAAGGACGACGAATCATTTACCAAAATTATTAAGGTCAGGCATTTAGGTTTTTATTCAGAGTTCTGTTCTTCGTTTTCTATGTTAGATTCAATTAACTCGGTCTGTTTCGATTTGGATTTGACTTTTACTGGTAGAAATGTGTAATTTTTTTAAGATTATGAATTTCGTAGTTACTTTTATATTACATTCAAATTCGATTTGTTTTATTATAAAAGATCACAAATATTCAAATTTTTATATTAAATTTAGTTTGATTTTGATTATTTGATATTCTCAACGATTAACAATAACAGGACCAAATACCAACCCCTAAAAATTATATGTATGTATAATCTCAACTTAATGTACTTTAATATAAATAACATTAATTAATTCGTTAAATATATATATATATATAAGAAATGTTATAATTCAGTTAATAATAATTTATAATTGAGTGAGACATCATTCTTGGTTCGAGGACAGAAGATATGTGACCACAAACACAAACGGGCTTCAGACAAGATTTTTACCAACTCTTTTTTATATGTAATCAAGATTCAAGAGCGCTTGGGTTTCTTCTTGGCAGGTCCAGCAATATACTCTTCTGCATTCACATTCTCACGGTTCTTCTTCTGCTTCTTCATCTCCTTTGCCTTTTCCTGCAAAACCCATTATGAAAAAAGAGAGTGGATCCATCGCTTTTTTTACGGCCTGTAAAAAGGAGGATAACCCATCTGGGTTCATAACCTTTGTTTTTATTACCTTCAAGGACTTTGTCATCTCGGCCAGATCTTTCTTGCCATCCTCGGACTTGTTTGAATCCTGCTGCTTCACAGCTTCCTGCAACAAGCCATTATCGTATCTCGTGCTAAAGTTTTGATCTTCCTTGGAAGAAAGAGACGTTTGATCATTAGACGGACCTCAGGGGGGATGAAGGCAGCATCTCTCTTTCTCTTGTTCTCTGCGCTCTTCTCCGCCTGCTTGTCCAGCTTCTCCCGCCACTTTTTCTCTGACTTCTTCTTCTCGCTCAGGAAGTATTCTCCCGATTCCAGTTGCAAATCAATCTGGCGAATGAAATACAATATCAATCAAACCACACTTGAAAGGGACAGTTACACATCGACCATACAAGCCAGCTTGTGAAACGAAACTTTTCATAAGCCAGTGCCAAAGTGATGTACAGAACATGGTTATTGGTTGCAGGTATAACCACAAAGGTATACTTGCCTTGCTAGGCTGTTGTGGAGGAGGGAGAGGATTGTATGGTTTCTTCTCTTTTGTCTTGGGCTTCTTTTGTTTAACATTTTTCCTGGAAAGTCACAATTAAAAAGGTATTCATCGTCAGTAAAATTAATCGAGAGGGAGGGAGCTTTCACCCGATGAAAATAAAATATAACTGAAGAAGGTTCATACTTCTTGAATGTCGGAAGAAATCTATCCCAGTTTTCGTTTGCAAGAGCCGGATCCTTCTCCAGTTCCTTTTTCATCATAAGAATCTACAAGGCCAAAGGTGAGAATCTGTTAAACCAAATTGACATAGTCCCATGGAAAAACTCCTGCAGCAGTGAGAAGATATTGATTAGCGTAGAAGTGTTCCAAACACCTTTATATGGTATACGGGATGCATTTTATTCTGTATGCAATCTTCTACGATCCTTCTGACTTGTTTTAGGCCTTTAAATGAGCCCATTGCAGCTACCGTATTTCCCTGTTAGATGCAGGCAAAGAAAACACACACATCAAAACCCAAACAGGAAGATATGAGTTAATGAGAAATTTGGTAAAGAACTACGCAATCACCTGGACTAGAATGTAACAGCCAGATAATATTTCCAGTGCCTGCAGCAAACAAGAGAATCATCAAGCCACACAAGGGAATATGCAGACTACGAGCATGCACAGAGTTTCTCTCAGGAGTTTGAATAAGAAATTGTTTCAATAATGTTGCAGTGTCATTCTAGCACCAAAGAAAGAAATCCAAAGTTTAAATTGCTCCGTCGAGTAAAATTCCAGGATATAATTTGATCAGACACCAAGCATAAGAACAAATCGGTAACAGCAGGATTATTCTTAAACATCTCCACTCATCAAAGGACTTAAAATTGGTCAATTTACAAACCTTCAAAGTAGAAGAATTAGGACCCACAAGCCGCTGCCTTCTTTTAACAAATCTTTCCTGCAGACATAGGACACATTACAAAAGCTTGTTGATAGTAAGTGGGTTCTTGCAATAGGATACTGAAGCAACCTTTCAGAAAATTCTCCAGTCTTTCATATTCTCATTTCTCAATGGAAATTGCATAAACACGGAGGAACGAAAAGTATGCACATCATGTGTGTGGTAATCTAATCTAGGCCTGATAGTTTTCTTAGTCTAATAAAAATGCCGGGATAAGTTATCAAAAGTAAATCTCTTGGGATTGATTTATTTCTTCGACCAGCCATTTGGTGAGAATATACAGAGTCTTCTGCTTGGCAATACCGTCTCCAATTTTCAGACATGAAGGCAATAATCTTAGGGAAAAGAACTACTTGCAGAGGAACGAGAGTATCTTCCTCTGTGATTATTTTTTTTAATCAAACCAATTGCATCACTATATTCATTCACCAGATTGTCTTATTGACAAGATAATGTTGAACCGAGATGACAGCATTTCTAGAAGCAAATCTTTAGAAATATTCGAGATTAGCATATGGAGTGGCAAAACCACCGAGTAATTAAGGTTTGGCTCCGTACCTTATTCCGAACCAAGCTACCGATCTTGATGATATCACATTGCACCTCATCATCCAGAATCTTAATAGCCTATAACCGTAAGAGAACGTATTCAGGAAACAGCATAACCCAAACACCAAACAACAATATCACAAATCCTCCACAAACTTGGTGACAGAGAACACAGCAATATTAGGGTTCCTGAATCCAATACGGCTCAAAACATTCTCTCAGATGCTACGTTCTCGGAAATAATTACTGATTTTGAAGCCGGATTAAACGAATTGGGTATTTGAACTTTCAGCTAAAAGCTCTGAGAGTGACACGAAAATTACCTGAGGAGCAGGAACACTTCTTGACAGAAGCTTAATCAAGTCTCTGGCTTTGACAATGATGTAAGGATCTCGTGTCTTCAACGTCGTCGAAACAGTCATAGACCCTTCATTCTGAAACACCCCAAGCACGAAATCTTATAAAAGAAATCGAAACCAAAAGCTCAAGCACACAAAACTAAAACCTAGCTTTCTGCAGAGAAGAGCGAAGAGACACGCACGCACCAGGTTGAGCTTGCAGGCGATACCAAACTCTTTAAGAGCGGCTTCGACCATTGGCCATGCTTCCTGAAGGTACTTCTCCCGGTACTGAGGAAAGAGAGTGGAGAAGGAACTTGTCTCGAGCATACCGGTCGGGTTCCACGAAGGATCGAACTTCTCAATCTTCCATCGATCGATGTTAGGGTCGTCGTCCCATGGCTTGGGCTTATCGTGTTTCCCCTTCTTCTTCACCTTGATTTCCACGTTGGGCTGATCTTCCGCCATTGTCGTAGCTTCAATCACTTTGACGAAGCAGAGCGAAACTTGTTGAGGTCGGCCACGGCGACTGCCGGAGAAAGGGTTTTCCTTTGTTATGGGAAAATCTAACGTTCTTTTTTAAGAATTTCATATTAAACCCTAAACTTTGTAACGTTTCTAAATGAAACCCAATGTTTCAATATCCATACAAAACCTTCCTTTGCTTTGCACCATATAAATATTATATACTCTATATTAATTTTCATAAGAAATATGTTCAGAACATTGATATTTATTATTACCGTTTAAAATAATTGTTGTTTTAGATTATTTCATAATTTTTTAATAAAAAAGATAAAAAATCATATATTTTCTTTCTTTTGTTATGCTTATGCATCACGTGGGGTTAAATATAAGTTGAAACGAAAGATTTTAGATTGATTTTGAGTATAATAGAAAAGTTTAGGATTCAATATAAATATTTTTTACACTATAATACTTAGGATTTCTAATTTTAGATAGAATTTAATTCAATTTTTTGTTTTAGAAAAGTATATCAATTCGTTTTATATTTAATTTGTTTTTAAATTTTGATTTGATTTTTATTAATATCAACATTCAGTTACAAAAACACCCAGTTATTTTTATATTAGTTCGACTTTTAAATTTTAATAAAAAATTACGTATATTTATTTTTATCACATTGGATTGAATTGAAATACAACGTTACTCTATTTGGCTTTTTTTCTAATCGTTGCCTTGATGATAAGTTGAGTAAAGATATTATATCGAGAATTTAAAATAATTTTCTGGGTTCGGCATTAATCAATTTGGACAACCAAAATGGAAAACTATTTTAGATATTATGATTTGATTACTACAGTATATATATTGGTATTTTCACTTAGTTTGACATTTTTTTTTATAAAATCGATTCACAATTTTCCTGAGGCAAATGTTTGTGATGTTGGTTCAAAATAAAATTCAACTTTCATGAAAATAAAATGTTTAAATATAATTATTATCACTATAATAAAACTTTTATTCAAATGCTTAATACATTAATTAGTTATCTCATTTTAGTTTCTAATTACTCATGGATATTTATTTCAAAGTACTACACATACTAGGATGAACATTTCGATATTCGGTTCGCATTCAGTTTGGTTCTTTTAAATTTATAAAAATATATACCAATCGGTTAATATATTATATTCAAATAGTTCATACACATGCGGTAACACACACATGTTAGATGTTAGGTGAAAAGGAATCTATTCTTTTTCGCGAGGTCCCATCTCATAAAGGTTAGTGTCATTTCTATTATTATTAATTGCTTATAAACGAAGTCTCGTTTATTTCTTTTTTCTTTTTCTTTTTTCTTGTTGGCGGGCTCAACGTATTACATTATTTTATACAAAAACATATAATTTGATTTTGCATGTTTAGACACATTTGAACTTTGTGGATTTCCATATATGACCC